TATATATATATATATATATATATATATTTATATATATGGCAGTGGCGCTGGCTGGTAGCGAGAAGATGCTAGTTGTAAGCTGATTTAATTGCGGGTCCCACGGAGAAGCACGCAGACATACGGGCGACCTTTTTTTCACCCGGATTTCCCAGGATACAGACAGCCGCGTGCCACACATGCGTGTAGAAAAAACCGCTGAGATTGGCACCAAGCCGACATTACACGACACCACAGCTAAGGAGTGTATATGTTACCCATTTTTTTTCGAAATCGGTTATTTTGCAAAATTACTGGCATGTAAATTGGTAATTCTGCAAAGTAACTTAAAAAGAGGTTAACTAAAGTTAAAAAAACAACAGGACCACTTTACTGTGTATCAATCTACAAGAGCCATCATAACCTAACCTAACCTAACCTAACCTAACCTTTCACGTAACTTAACCATAAGGTTAGGTTATTTTAGGTTGTCTGTAAGTTATTTTGGAAAATTGCCAATATGAATGCCGGTAATTTTGCAAAATAAACGATTTTGCAAAAAAAAAAAAAAAAAACTAACCTATACAATGTTTGGGGAACAGTTGCATAAAATGCGAGAAACTAAATCTCTTTTCTAACTTGGGTAAGATACACCTGGTTGTGCGGTGACCTGACCTAACTGGTCAGGATTAACTCTGTCGCTCTCCCTCTCATATACAGTAAATGGGAGAGGTTGCCCTGGATGCAGCATGAGTGAAATGAAATGTTGATGGGTTCTGGGAGACAGAATTTCCCATGGTGCTAGTGCGTACTGTATGTAGGTTATGTATCTATGCTACTGTGCCGACTAGCAACCTTGTAAATAAGCTACTGTGCCGAGTAGCATTTATATATGTAATTACGTGGCAACACTGCACGTGTTATGTGGCAACATTGCTCCGAGGCTGCCATATGGCAAGGCAGTCTCAGTCTGACTCTGTGGGCCATGCATGGCACACGCTAGTCACTACTTGTATTTCTCCTATCCGTTAATAAATGGACTTCAGTGTTACCCGGTGTTTCCCTACCCATCACTGCCTTCTTCAGGGAACACTTGGAACCTTCATGGTGCAGTGAGTAGGATCTGTGGACTTACAAGTGTGTGAACAATGGACAGTTAGCCGGTGATGTGCGACTGCCGGCGATGTGAGCGCGTCGACTCTCAGTGTGTTGTGTTGTGTTGCGTTGTGTTTCGCCGCGACGTGCAGTGTTGCGCCGTCACAGTGCGTTTTAGTGACGGTGGCAGTGTTAGTGTCAGTGTATTAGTGTGTCTAGAGCTGAGAGTTGAGCATTGGCCTGTCTTTTGTGGTACCCATGGAGCACGCAGGCGTACACCCTTCTCGTGTGACATCCGGGGAAAAACTAACGTTCTCACCTTCTCGGCGGCTCCAGCCCACGATGCTCTCTGAGACACACACACACAAACACACACACGCATGCATGCACGCACTCACGGACAGAACAGTGGACTCTGCGTTATTTCTGCGCAGTTTATGTCATATATATGTGGTTCGAGCTGATGAGGCGCCACTTTATATACTAAACAGCTCAGTTCAAGCATACTAAGATGGGCGGTAAGAAGGGACAACGTCAAGATGGGAGACACGACTCCCCACCACCTTCTCCTCTACCGGGCACAGATGGAGCTTCTGCGCCCTTCGCCCCTCATCCTTCACCTACAGCGACGGACATTGCCACAATTCTGAGGTGGATGGACGACAGGGACGAAAGACGCAGAGAAATGGAACTTCAGAGGGAGGAGATACGAAGAGAGGAGGAAAAGGCACGCTTTGATGCAATATTGGCGACCCTGGCGCTAACCCACCTTCCCTCACTTGCGCACCAAAGCGCCAGTACCCTCCCTCCTCCACCACACCAGCGTCCTCCAGGCACTCTTGCTACTCCACCAGTTCCCAAGGCATCTGTTCAACCACCACCCGCCCTCTTCACCAGACGTCACGTTTCAGCTTTTTCGTGAGTGGAGGCGGCGGTGGACAGATTACTCCACGATGGTGGACCTTGACAGCATGCCTCCAAACAAACAGCTCATCCAACTGCTGATGTGTTTGTCGCTGGAGACCCAGAGAGTTTTGGAGCACACGTTGCAAGTGCCTCCCGATTCTACCTCTTCAGTGACGGATGTGCTCGACCTTTTTGCAGGAGCACGTTTAGGGTCGGAATAATGAGGCTTTGCATCGCCGCGCCTTCACCAGCTGCAAGCAGGCGGAGAATGAATCCTTTGACGACTTTTTTGTACGTTTGAAGAGTTTGTCGGAGGAGATCGACGTCTGCAAGGCGCACAGCCGGGAATGTGAGGAAGCCTGGATCAAGCACGGGATCTTGACAGGTGTCAGGCAAGAAGAGGTGGTGTAGCGACTCATTCCCCTGGACGCTTCCTCCACACTCCAGGTGGTAGTGACTGAATGTCGGTCATACGATGCCACCAAGTCCGCCACCTCTGCCTTAAGGGCCCCACCTGCTGTGAGAGCTATCTCACAGTACAAGAAGGGTAAGAAGGCGGCCAACAACGTGAAGGCTGCCGCACGTTCTTCCACGCCTCCGCCTAGTGCTTCCTGTGGCAGCTGTGGAAAGCTGCATGGCCCCAAGACATGCCCGGCCGCCGACGCGCTGTGTCGTGGATGTGACCGTAAGGGCCACTGGTTTAACACAGACAGGTGCCCTGCACGAGGCCACAAGTGTCAGGCCTGCGGTCGCTATGGACACTACGACAAGTGCTGCCGCCAACCCAAGCTCAAAAGCCCGAGACGAGGAGGAAAGCAGCGCACTTCCCTCGGGGTGGTTTGCACGCAGCCCCCTTCAGATGGCCCTTGCAGCCCCAAGCAGCAGCTGAGTCACATCAGGAGGGTGGAATCGACCACACGCCCTAGGGCTACCCCTTCCCCTACCATCCGCGTCGCTGTCACACACGGTGATGTGTCGGGTCACATCGAGGTGATACCGGACACCAGCGCTGATACTACGGTGATAGGCCTGAAGCACCTCCAGAAACTGGGCCTCACCAAACGCGGCCTGGGACCACCGCCGCAGCTGCAGTACTACAATGTGGACGGTTCCCAGATGCCGGACGCTGTGGGCTCCTTTCAAGCGGAGATCACTTACGGCGGCAGGTCGTGTCACAGATGGATCGACGTGCAGCCTACTCTCGCTACACCCTTGTTGTCGTGGGAGCACTGCAAGGAGTTAGGCATGGTGCCCAGAGACTTTCCTGAGCAGATCCCAGCTGCTTGGTATACCGCCAGCGGGGTGCGTGAATCAACGAGCGACGCGCCTGGCGCTGCCGCACAGAGCTGCCCAGAACCCCTGTCCACTCCCGCCCCGCCTCCACCCAAGTCACGGCTGCTTCCTCTTCACAGCGAGACGTCTCCTTCAGCCGCAAGGGTCTACTTCCTGAAGGAGTACTCGGATGTGCTGGTGCCAAGTAGCATTTATATATGTAATTACGTGGCAACACTGCACGTGTTATGTGGCAACATTGCCCCGACGCTGCCATATGACAAGGCAGTCTCAGTCTGACTCTGTGGGCCGTGCATGGCACACGCTAGTCACTACTTGTATTTCTCCTATCCGTTAATAAATGGACTTCAGTGTTACCAGGTGTTTCCCTACCCATCACTGCCTTCTTCAGTGAACAGTTGGAACCTTCACTGTATGCCCGCCGTGTATCGGTGCGGATTCTTCTATTAGGTACCTCTAGTTCTCTTCAACTATGGGTGTATGTGGTTTGTCTAACCAAGTCCTGTTGTGAAGTCAACAACCCTGATGGTTGATATTACACTCTGGACTTGGGAGTGCTTTTTAAAAGATTGTTTGGTGCTATACATGTAGTATAATTTGTCTGTAATGACGTATTCTGGACCAGTGTTATTGAGCACGGTTACGGGTATGGTGGAGAAAGCACGCATGAGCCGAGAAGTAAAGTAATAAGAATATGTGGGTAAACAGCCCCCTGACGAGTCGTGAGCGGTATAGCAGTTCTCACATAATTTTGGGTCTTAGATATGTGCATGCTGATTGGGCTCAAATGATATCAGGCCATTATGACTGATCCATGTTTTTGGGCAGGTTATTAGTTGCCGTCTTTGGTCTTCGTGTAATATATTAAATTAAGAATGTGGAAAATCTCATACAGATCAAACTAATAATTTTCTATTGGTTAATATTATTTTGTGGGGTTTCCAGACCACTATGCTATTTTATGAATATGTGGAATATGTGTGCTGAGGGGATGCTGAGGTAAGGATCTGTCAGGGGTTGTGTTTTAATGGGAATGTCAGTGGGCTTAAACTCAGGGAAGCGCGACCCTAGACCTCAGCAACTCCTGAGCTGGTGAGCTCACATTGGGACCAGTTTCATATTTTTTGATGCTGATAATAATGGTGTCTAGCGATGTAAGATGTGTCGAGGGATTAATCCAAATGAATTGTTGTCTTGGGCATTTAATATTTTTTTAGTGTTGTAAGGTTGGTGCTGTTGATTAATACAAGTGTCATATCATTTTCTGTGCATCTCTTTATCCTACTGCAACACAAATAAATGTAGTCTCTTCCTGAGTGACCTTGATGACTCTGAGTTCACAAGCTATGTTACACCGCCCAAACACATAAAATATCAAATGTCGAATGGTTTTAATGCAATATGGAGAGGACTATAACGAAGAACACTAATACAAAAGGATTAAAAGCTTGTAGTAACAAGTCCTTAACAATATTACTCCATGAATTCATTACTTCGGTATGGACATCAACATACAGAAAGCATCCTCTTGTCTCATCTAATGAGCATAATATGTCACTGTTTTACAAAGTACTGTACATGGTAAATTTGTAATGGGTCATTAACTCATAACTTATTACTAGTCGAATTTACTCTTTCACGGCGACCCTCGTATCTACATTCAAAGATATGGAGTTCATGTGAAATTTACTAGGCGACTCTGCCAGTAAGAGTGTATGTACTATACTCACCCTGGGACCATCAAGGCCAGTGATGAGGGAGTCCACCTCAAGGGGCGGAGGCTTGACGCTCTCAGTGTGTACTGGAGTAGTGAGTGGTAAAGGGGTGGTGCTTGGTAGAGGTACCACAGAACCAAGCTGTAATATGGAATATCAAAGATAAATTAGAGGTCCTAGAATTTACCTCTTTTAAAATTTATACTCTGCCTGTTGCCAATTTTTTTTCTTAATTCACATTTTCATGTCTTATTGTGCATACACAACGCAGAATAATATTGTTTTTTCACAGTTCCTTGAGTAGTTGAGAGATGTAAATCTAGCATTTTCATTAATTCATAAATTTCTTCTCTTTTTCAGAGCAGAGTTACTGTAAATTTTCCCTAATATATAAAATATTTAATAAATATATATTCTGAGATGTATGTTAAGTAAGTAGAATATTAGTCGTCAATCTGTGGTTAGACGTGGAAAAAATTGCAACAAATTATTTTTTATTTTTTGTATTTAACCCTGGTATTATTGTAGAACAACATATCAAAATTGTAGAGGAAACTTTTTTAACTTATTTAGCCTATGTTTACAATTTTTTGCGGCCACAATCCAATTTGCTCAAATTGAAGATACATTTGCACATTCATTGGCAAGTCTAATTCTCAAAACTATATTACCAAACATTTACTTTAACTGCAATGTATAATTTATTTTTTTTGTTTAATTAGATACATGCCAACAATACTGATAAAAGCATTTAATCCAAATTACAAGATTAGCAGTTCGGAAATTATTGAGGTGCATGGCACACTGTTGTGATTACTGAGAAACTTAAAATAACTTATCCTTTGGGAGTTAATGAGTAACTTGTTGACCAGAGAGGCATGCAAACATAGCAGCACTAGGAGATCAGTGTCTTTCCCCAGAACAGTTGTGGCAGACTCGGCAGCACACCTAACTGCTGCCGCAATAGTAAGAACGTCTGCATCACCATCTGCATGTAACGTCTTGCAATCAGCTTGTAGAAGTCGCCCACTCAGCATGGTCACGAACCTTTGTTTGTTGAGGTGGTTTTTCCGAAAAGTGCTCCTTCTTGAATGTGAGGAGCACCTCCTCCTCCAGTTCTCCTTACTTTAAGTGTATCACATCTTTGATGGATGCACCTGACTCGTATCCATCAAATACAATGGTTGGCTGTCCGAACTTTCTGCAGTAGTCCACATACCTAGTACAGATGGATTCAAATGTAGAACCATGGTATTCTATGCAGGAAAGAGCCACAAGTGATTACATACTGCATTGTCTCAGAAGAGAGAACTGGCATATCAGCCCCTTTTGCGGTAGTCCTTATTTCATCAGCCAAGGCTGCTTTTTGTCAAACAAGTTAGGGTTGCTGCTGTCAAACTTGAAGATATCTCTTGTGGATTCATCGATTTCGCCTGCAGCTATTAGTAGACGCTGAAAGAGAAGCTGTGGGTCCACTTGAATGAATTCCTCATCAACATTTGTAGAGAATTTGCTGTCCATTGTAACTATCTTATCTTATTTCTTGCATGTATGTGTAAACACGTTGTTTCCGATCATTGATTTAAGGACTGGCATCCCACCTCCTTGCCTTTGTCAGCATTCACAGTTTTATTAGTGGTGACACCTGTGGCAATGTTTCGTAGAGATGAATCCTGACTGAAGGGATTTTTACATTGAAGATAAGATAGCAAGCGCCTCATATCCTTATTATCCCTTGTTTGTCTGGTTAGTGTGACATATTTGTGCTCCTCACTGGTTGCGTAATCTGTATCTGTGAGCATCTGCATGGCACTATAGACATCACAGCATGCTGACATGGAAAGCAGCCTTTGTGTTCGCTGGAGTTATGTAATCCCAAGACCTCGGGTCAATCCACTTGTCTTCATGGTTCTGTCGAGTGTTCGTTCAATCACCAAGTCTGATAATAGCCTAGCCCAGACATGGAGGAGCTGAAGATATCTGGATGTTCAGACATCTGCTGTATATAAATGTATGCGGATTTAACCTACAAACTATGTCTTGCCGCTGCAAAATATGGAAGCATAATTTGAAGGACTTTAGGTGGAGAGCCCACTTCCCAGTTCTCTCTGCTTTAATGAACTGGCGAATCATCTCCATATACTACAACTAAAGGCAGACAGTGCCAGATCACTAACCATAAGTCTGTCATGCAACTGGACTGCTGTGTTTAAATCTTCATCCAAATGTGAAGGCACAGTTGGAGAACCACAGTTGGCCTCTTCAGACATCAACTTCATGGCTTCAGATTGTGGTAGGTTTTGACGCTTTGAGGGGAAGTTCCCAACTTCAATTTCTTTGAGCAACAGCTGACAGTGTTCCTCCACTTAAAATTTCCTACATTTTTGTATGTTATTCCGGAATATTCCCTCTCTTAAAATCTGCCTCCCCCCACAAAAATATAAATACAAATCTGCAATTTTTTCCAGGTTCCACCCATTTTAATTACAGAGTGACTGGATTATATGTAAATGGCTTCTTTTTTTTTACCCTCTCTTTTCTATCGAGTATCGATTAATTACGAACTTTGACAAGTTACCTTTTTCAGTTCTTAAAGTAATAAAAACTACATTAAAGTACTTAATTATCATATAAGAGTTAATGTGAAAAATATTTTAAGATGGAACACACTCAGACGACATCATTATAGACTCACCGCCACATATTGCCAGCCAGCAGCTACGCGTACCAGCAAGGCTTCCTCCTCGACCACAAAGGCTAGCGTCCCCACCGGCGATACTCCACTCATCTGACACCATTACTCATACATTAATAACATCACAATTGAGAGAGAGATGTTCTGTAAACTGTCAAAATATTGCCTCTACTAGTCAGTTATATCTCTTATCATATACATAAATTAATTAAATCCAATGAACACATGATAATCATTCATAGAACTCTGTTGATCAACACGTGTCACACTGGAGCTCGGTACTAATATCATTGCTTACACAGCACTAAGTTATTGTACGTCTTGGCTCTTCAGAGTTGACGGTGAAACCTATAGCAGTGGAGCTCTTTTTTGTAATATTTAACAAACTACAATTATTCAATAAACTTTTAAAATACGTCATCGACTTTCACTTAATATTGCATGCATAAAAGAAATATTATTGCATTAAATTTATTTTCTTGAGTTCCATCTTCCTGTCATTAACACTATTAACTTCTTCTATAACTCTGGATAACTGCTCAATATTTAAAGTATACCGATGTTATTTTAGTGCAGGAGTAAGCTTGAGGTGGGTGAGAAAGGCAAGACACAGTAAGCAGACCTTGATCATGGCGTCTCTGTCAGGGAAAGTGACAGCTCCCGGCACGATCCTGTGGGCTGCGCCTCCTCGGCCTCCGTCGGTAGACCGTCCGGGGGGACCAGGCGGCCCAGGGGGGCCTGATATATAATACACAATACACTGAGTACATCCGCATTACACCTCTGTACAGGTGTATAGCCACTGCATTATAAAGAGTGATTTGCCCTTAACAAAAAGTGTCGTTTTGGATCTTATGTTGTAGTGTCTTGGTATACTGGCTACACTTAAAGAAAATATACTGTATGTAAATAATGAAAATAACATGTTGGGAACACTCCACTTTAATGTGCAGGTTGGTAACTTTGACCATTTAGAATATTTTGTAAAATAGGCATACCTTTGTGTTTAATAATGTTTTTTTTTAACATCTAAATTACTGAAAGACTAATATAAAATGATACGCAATAATATGTTTTTGCCATAACATTATTTACACGCACACACACACACACACACACACACACACACACACACACACCTATTTGTTTCGCCTGAAATTTTCATACTATCTAATAAATTTATAATTTTCACTGAACCAAGAACAATGAACAGCTTTTCAACAGTTCAATACATTTTGTCAAACAAAAATATAATGATTTTTTTTATGACAGGAGAAATACAAACATGACTGAAATTGGGCAATTATAAAATTTTCACATGGATAGTGTAGGAAGAGGAGAGAATACAATGACCCATCTAAATTGAGAGCTTCACCTCTGTTTCTGCGGCGGCCAGATATCCGCCGGCGAAGCTCGGCAATGCCTCCAAGACTGCCTGAGGCCGCTTGTGGGGAGGAGAAAACCCACGAGATGTTAGTAACAGTGAACATGCCGAATGAAAGTAGGAAATGAGTGTTAGTTTTCTCAGACAGACGTTAGGTGGTGTGTGAGATAAGATTGTCTAAAATTAGTGGTGTGAACAATGTAGATGAGGAAATAAAGTGTCCAGTGATAGAAATTATTGTGTGAGTGGGAGGACAAGACGCCTCACGGTATATAAGTAAACAGATTGCTCCTGTGGGAACTAGAAAATAAACACAAAAAAGTCCGCAGGTCAATGGAAGGAGAGTAAGAAAGGTGGGAGGACATCATGGTCGCGGAAGGGCGGTCCTTGGTAATTGAAATTCCATGGTACTGTACATAGGTCGAAGAGTAAGGTACAAATTCACGTTGAAGCAGACGTTCTATACTGGGTGAAAAGGATGGAGGTCATATAGTTAACTGGAGATGCTCTGTGGGTAGAATAGTTAGAGGAAAATTGGAATATAGTAGTTAAATGGATAATAAAGATTAGAGGTTTAATAGCATTAATTTCTCATAGTAAACCTTCACAAAGTGGAATTAATGCTGTATAAATTTCGATGGTTTGTTATAAGGAAGACTACCTGGAGGTGAGGAGTGAAAGTGCTGTCTTATTATTGTTGTTCGACTTTTTAACGTGAATTCAAAGCAGAAAACAATTAATTATATACCTGTGGTTATATTAACGATATATAAAAGTTTTGCATTCTTCATTCCTTTACGCATTCTACATTTATTCATGCAAATTTTTCAAATATTGCTTACAACTTGGAAACACAAATGTTATTGACAGTGTACAGTACCAGCTGGAGAAATACACTATCATCACAACATTTTCTGTATGTGAATAGTATACATCGTGAATTAATACGTACAGTGGTCAACGAAGCCATATAACAAAGGACAGGAGGTGTGTCAAACTTACCTCGGCCGGGCATGGAGTCACCGGGGACTCCAGGAGGTCCAGCCTTACCTCTGCGTGACATGCCTGGCTCACCAGGCGGCCCCTGAGGCCCCTCAATAGACAGTCCTGGAGTACCTGCTATACCCTGCAGAAGGACCATAACCATTAGTCTTAATTGTGGTTCGGTGTTACTATTATCCTATTCTTCTTCTTTACTTACTTGACTGAGCAAATATTGGTGCAAGTCTAATAAGGTATTTCGTGTAGCTGGTAAAATGTCTTCAAAGTCAGCAAAGAATTAGCTATTCATAGTTACTTTATTTATTTGAAGATTTTAGGAGAAAAATGCAATGGATTTGATATACTCTGTATCTGCTTACAGGTGGTCCTGGTGGTCCTGGTGGCCCCGGCACAGGCACATACATCTGGTTCTCGCCTTCATGAGGTCTACCAATTAAGCCCGGTGGGCCAGGAGGACCGGGTAGACCAGGTGAACCTGCTGGTCCAGGTGGACCAGGGACTGTGTGTGTGTCTGAATTACCGCCTCCCTGTAAAAAACGGAATAGTTCAGTTTAAAATTGTTTTGCATAATTTCTGTTAATTTTTGTGAAGATACTGTATATATATATTTTTTAAATATAGATCCCAATACAAAACACTAGTAACATATATCTACACTAACTAAATAGTGAACTCTGCAGTTATCTGGAATTTATTTTCGTCCTATATACAAACACAATGGACACACTCCTGAAATCTCTTGAATACAAGCAAGAGTAACAAAGAAAAACTCTTCCTTAATACATGACTTTGTGTAAATACTGTACTAATACAAGGTCAACAACGGCTACCAAACTACCTCACACATGACTTTTATAAAATGACCCGAATATACAAATTTCACATTTCTGAAAATCATTGTGTGGGGCAAATAGCATTTTTTTTTACGGAGATTAGCCCACCCGGGCCCAGGTCAACGACCCACAAAGGGTCCTAAGGGGGCGAAAAAATAAGACTAAAAGAAATTAAAAATAGAAAAGGAAAAGGTTATATTAATCTAAACCACCAAGATGCCGGAAAGCCATCTTTTTAAAGTGAGACAGATTGTATGAGCATGGAAGCACAGAAGAAGGCAGAGCATTCCACAGCTTGGCTCTGTGAGGAAAGAAGGATTCACTGTAACGGGTTATTCTAGTGTGACCGACATCCACAGAGAAATGGTGGGCATCGCGGGCAAGACGCGTGTTAGGACCCTACGGCCTTGCCGGCGGTACACAGTATGCCAAATCCACCGAACATTGCCCGTTAAAGTACCTGTAAAAGAGAGAGAGTGAAGCAACATTGCAGTGAAGAGAAAGGGAAGAAAGATTGTCAACTAAAAGAGGAGAGTTAATAAGACGAAATGTCTTTGATTCCACCCTATCTAACAGTTGGAAAGAAGAGACACCCCCTATATGAGAGCAATACTCCAAGTTAGACGAATGAATCCCTTATATACTCGAAGCAACTGTTCAGGAGTGAAGTAACTACGTCATCTGTATACCATTCCCAACTTTCGGGAGGCAGCTTTAGCAATGTTGAGGATGGTGGCTTCCATGACATATCCGAGGAAACGGCGAGGCCTAGCATATCTATTTTAGAAATGGTGGGAGATCATCTAATTTGAAAAGTGTAATTGGTAAATACTGGGTTTTATCACTATTGAATTTAATCAAGTTTCTATCTCCCCATTCGGAGATGCTGCACAGATCCGCATTGATAAATGTAATGATATCAGCTCTAGAACCAGATCTAGTTTGAGAGTTAGGGGGACGGGGAAAATATGAAGAAGAGTGAAGAGTAGAATCATCAGCGTAAGAATGGATAGAATTAGTTGTAGTGTGAAGTAAATCATTGATAAAAAGAAGGAAGACAGTAGGTGAAAAACAGAACCCTGTGGGACACCACTATTGATAGAGAAAGAGCGAGAGGTCGATCCCTCGACAACAACCGCCATGGATCGGTTCTCAAGGAAGCTAGAGATTAGAGAACAAAGTGGGGGAGAGAAACCATACGAGGGAAGTTTAGAAAGCAAAGAATTGAGCCACACCCTGTCAAATGCTTTGGAGATATCGAGGGCCACGACAAAAGTTTCCCCATAATCCCTGAGAGAGGATGACCAAAGATGGGTGCAGTAGGAGAGCAGATCACCAGTAGATCTCGCCTGGCGAAAGTCATACCGGTGATCCGACAAAAGAGAATGACGTTCAAGGTGAAGGGGAAAATGAGAGTTAGAGGGATTAGAATGGTCACCCTACTTTGGGATGGGCTGAACCAAGGCATGCTTCCAAGAAGAAGGAAAAGTTTGGGTTTTGAGGCAAAAGCAAAATAAGCAAGCAAGCGCAGGGGACAGAGCTTCAGCACACTCCCTCAGAACACGAGGGGGTAGTCCGTCTGGTCCATGCGCCTTACTCACATCCAACTTGGATAACACACCAGCATACCTCCGAGTGGAGATTATAGGAAAGTGCATAGGTTCAGTAGGAGGAGCAGGGGTAGGAGGGATAGAGTTGGAAATGTCTAAGGTGGCATTACAGAAGAATAAGGTGCCAAAGAGAATGGCATTGTCAGGGGGAGAGTTGGCTACAGAGTTATCAGGTCGGAAGAGAGTAGGAAAAGAAGGAGTGCAGAAGTTATTACACATTTTTTGGTTAAGTACCAGAAGGACTTACTAGAGGAAAATTAGTCAGGACAGCGGTCTTTCTTTTTAATAAAATTCCGCTTGGCCCAACGAAGAATAGCCTTACAACGATTCCTCGAAGAATTGAAAGAGGAGTGGGTAATAGGAGAAGGAGTCCATAGCTTGATATGCCAATCTATCTCCCTGCAACAAAGAGAGCCGGATCGATTAAACCATGATTGTAAAGTGAAAGTTTTGGTAGAATATGGAATAAATGCACACATACCACCCTGTAGAACCCCAGCAATGCTGTCAGCACAAATCGAGGTGTCCCAAGTGGAAAAGCAACAATCATCCCAAGGAAAGTCGATGTAGAATTCTCGCAAGGATTGCTAGCTTTCCCCCCATTAGTGCCATATTTGACGAATAGAGGGGGGTAGGGGAGGTGGTCGTGCCCAGTTTGATTTAATAAACTTATTTTCCAACCTTTCCCCTACAACTATCTTTCGTAAATTCTCTATCCTTCATGTCTGTCTGTGTACTGAAGGAGGGTTCTATAGACAGTGTACTGGAGTGTTCTATGGATAGAATACAGGAGTGTTCTATAGATAGTGTACTGGAGTTACTATGACCACCTACGTGATACGGGCAGTCCCCATTAGAGGTTCACGGCGCCATAAGCTCGTTGAACAGGCTTTGTGTGAAATATAACAAAGTCTAGGACTGCTTTTAGTATCCTGGTGGTCCAGCGGTTCGCGTTCCCCGGTCACAGTCATGGGCTAATGGGCCGTGGGTTCGAATCCTGGCGGGTTGAGGCGTTGATTGTATGTAGAAGTCCGCGTGCTATTGGGCTAATGAAATATATATGGATCCTCGTGTTTCGAAGCCGGACTTGGTAAAACGTTACTCTGACCACCTACGTGATAAGGGTAGACCCCATTAGAGGTTCACGGCGCCATAAGCTCGTTGAACAGGCTTTGTGTGAAATATAACCAAGTCTAGGACTGCTTTTAGTATCCTGGTGGTCCAGCGGTTAGCATTCCCCGGTCACAGTCATGGGCTAGTGGGTCGTGGGTTCGAATCCTGGCGGGTTGAGGTGTTGATTGTATGTAGAAGTCCGCGTGCTATTGGGCTAATGAAATATATATATATATATATATATATATATATATATATATATATATATGTAATATTCAGAAATTTCAGAGTAATTTCAAATGCCGCGCCATTGGCGATACTGAGTTTTCAAGGTCATCTGAGGGAAGAGAGCGCTCCCCGCATGTAGCGAGAGGTTGTGGAACTAGGCCTATACGATATTAAATGTAATTTACCGAGTTAATAGGGACGCGAATCATGAAATTAAATATCAGTTATTAAATTGAAAATAATTATAGATCGTTTCCCAGTCTGAAAATGTTGCATACCTCCTAATTAAGTTTAATCGTTTGGCAAATAAGTCACTCCCGGAAAGCGTGAACCAGGGAGCAAGGTGGCCGGGGAGCTGTGAGAGAGGTCAAGGACCACCTCTGTGCTGTACCCAGGAGAGACGGATCTCGTGCCCTGGTTCCTTCGTTTATTTAACATCAGTATTAACAAGTAAGTTTTATTCAATCTCAGACAAAGCTTGATAGGGCGGTAGGAACAAACGGTGATGTGAGACAATTGCTAACAGCCCGGGTTTTTCAGGGTTCTGTAGACCCCACGCGGTATGATAACGTCCACTGGCGGTATGAGACACGAGTGGTGAAGCGAGCTGTATGACCGTCCACTGACCTGGGTTTGAGCCACCTGTTGAGTATGGTGAGAGTTGGAGTGAACCCAGCTGTCTAGGTGCCCAACTAACGAAGTGACGATCGTTTGGGGTCATCAACTCTCCTCTACCTCGGCTCACAATACCACATATCTTGAAGCAGCTTAGTGAAAACCTTTTACTAACAGGAAGCTAAAGCTTCTCTCAACTGTATAAGGTCTGATTGGCTCACTCCCTTCCGCTTCATGGATGTACTGGGGGCAAAGTGAAGCCAGCTGAGTGATACAGGGCCCCACACTGGGGCCAAGAGTCAGTGGAGTGTAGAGGTACACTTTCCAAGGTGGAGAAAGGCTGATTTGGGCCTTAAACTACGGGTGCCGGTTGGTTGTGCCTTAAACGACTACGGAGTGCAGGTGGAATCTGTGTGTGTGTTAGGTTAGGAAGCATGGTTCACGGGTATTGGTGGACTCAGTAACTTCTTAATAATAGTGACAATATTTTTGTGTGTAGTTAATACTATTTTTTCAGTTACTAATGTATGCTGTGTGCATTTAATATTTCTTTATAATCTCAATCTCCGGTATAACCTTTGTTCTCCAGAGTCGTGTTTAAGTTAGGTTTGGAGGTGTGTATCTGCTGTGGTAATATAATTTTGTTGAGCGCCCTGAAGGCCTATTCAGGGTGGAGTTAATAAGCTCTGATTTTATACCATTTTCTCAGTGCTGGATATAATTTTGGAGAGTGCCCTTAAAGCCTATTCATTGTAGAGTTATTTATTTCTTATTTTTTTAATACCATTTTCTCAATGATTGATATTTGGTTGAAAGCCCTTAAGGCCTGGTTCATGTGTGCAAGCAACATTTCTTAATACTTTAAACTTATTATCCTCTAATGAGGCATTGCCTGAGGTTCTAATAATTTCAACATCATGTATAACTTTTATTCCCCAGAGTAGTATTTTAAGTTCAGGTTAAGAAGTGCACATATTGGTGTACCACTATTTGATTGTGTTTGTAGTGTTGGAGGGAATATAAGTGTAAATTTTACAGTGTGTCTCATTCATCCCAGTCACAGACGCTATCCTTCCATGGGTCACGGACAATTCATTTTGTTTAGTAAAGTTAAGTGCTCTTGTGCTG